ACATCTGTAGCTCAGTCTAGGTTTAACATATCAGAGGCAGGGTATTTGGGGTTTGGGGAGAATTATAATTACCATCGACAAGTTCATTGCAAAATATGTCTACAAAATACAGCAGAAATAAAACCAAAAGAATAGTCACAGTAACACATCAGGGAGCTACATAAACCAAAGCAAACACCTCACCAAATGTCCTTCACTTACACAGTCCAAATCAGGTACCTGGCAACTGACTCTGTAGTGTTCGTACCACCTGGACTTGAAGGGAGGGGGCCATAGCTGTTTCGCATTCAGAGAGTCCCGGGTTCAATTCCCGGCATCCCCAGTTAAAAACAAACCCTGCTTCTGCTTGGACGAATGTTGCTCTTTTTTTTTTCATTTGTCTTCCTTCTCCCTCTGTCTCTTACAACAGGTGGGCTGTAACAAAGTCTATACCAGCACCTCGGATGTAATGACCCACGAAAATTTCCACAAGAAGAACACGCAGCTCATCAACGATGGGTTCCAGCGGTTCCGGGCCACGGAGGACTGTGGCACTGTGGACTGCCAGTTCTATGGGCAGAAGACGACTCATTTCCATTGCAGGTGGGACCGAAGTTAAGGCTGGCCATGGGTATAGTTGGCACCAGAGGCAGTGCTAGGCACTGAAAAGCTTTTGTGCCCAGGCTCAGGGAGAGCAATCGGCCTAAATATTGCATATGCTAATTTATATCCATATATGCAAATGCAGAAATAATTACTAGGATTTCTTTATTTTTCACAGAAGGCAAAGCTAGCTGATTCAGTCCAATTGAATTCACTTTATTGCTCGATAAAGGATTTTGCACATACATAAAATGAAAAACACAGGACATTCCGAGATGCCCGAAAGCAGACACCTCTGCCTGGGTGCAGAAAATGTGATAAATCCGCAGGCTGAAGAAGCGTTGAACAAACCACGGGGTGTCGTTGCAATGTGGGTCGTCCCAGCTGAGATAAGGCGCTCTGGTGAACAAACCACAGTTCACAACCCAGCAACAGACCATGTGTGCTCTTCATGGGCCACTTGTGTTGAACGGGCCGTGGCTGGTTTGGGCAGCGTAACCTGAGGCCCTCCTTGGGGCGCCCCCTCAAGGGTCTCTCAGGGGGTGCCAGCGGGGGAGCAGACCCTGTTGGTGCTGGCCCCCTCTTGGAGGGGACGACGTGTCATGAGCACTGCCATCTTTTCCATAAAGGTTAAAACTTTACTCCCAGGCACTTGACAGCGCTTGGGATTTTATTGATTGTTATAGATTGTTTTTGAGTAGGAACTGTTTTTATATTATATCTTACAATATATAATGAGGTGTTCATATTTTTAAGCTGCTCAGGGAGCTCTGGCTGCTGGTTGGTTTGGAATTGCAGTCGATCGATCGATCGATCAGTAGGTCGATAGAGAGGGCCTTGCCTCTGCTGGGGTCAGCCAATGGACATGGGATTTTGGGGGGTCCTCCTCCTGCCTTGGGCCTGATCCACCGTTTTTTCCCTCCGGCAGGCGGCCAGGTTGTACGTTCACCTTCAAGAACAAATGCGACATCGAGAAGCACAAGAGCTACCACATCAAGGACGACGCCTACGCCAAGGACGGCTTCAAGAAGTTCTACAAGTACGAGGAGTGCAAGTACGAGGGCTGCGTCTACAGCAAGGCCACCAACCACTTCCACTGCATCCGGCCGGGCTGCGGCTTCACCTTCACCTCCACCAGCCAGATGACCTCCCACAAGCGCAAGCACGAGCGCCGGCACATCCGCAGCTCCGGCGTGCTGGGCCTGCCCTCCTCCCTGCTGGGCGCCAAGGAGAACGAGCAGGAGGAGTCCAGCAACGACGACCTTGTCGACTTCTCCGCCATGAGCTCCAAGAACTCCAGCCTGAGTGCCTCTCCCACCAGTCAGCAGTCTTCCGTCTCCTTGATCGTCCCGGGGACGCCTTCCTCGGCCGCGGAGCTTGCGGCCTCGCAGGCCTCCGGCAAGCCTGCCGGCAGTATGCCGCCGGCTCCCAAGATCCCTGGCCTGCTCTCCCAAGCCCTCCCGAGCAATATATCGTTGGCCCTGGCGCTCCCCAACGCGTCCCTCCCAGGAACAGCCGGTCCCTACTTTCCTATCCTCCCCAGCCGGGGCCCCGGCCCGCTGCCTGCCACCTCGGCTGGCTTGATTGCCACCGGCGCGTCGAGTGCCAACCCAGCATCCTCGGCCAGCTCCCCTTCCCAGGCCATCTCAGGTTCCGTCGAGGCCGCGACCACCTCCTCGCCTACTCCGGCGGCATCCCTCATGGAGAGAATCTCAGCCAGCAAAGGCTTGATTTCCCCAATGATGGCCAGGCTGGCGGCAGCAGCCCTGAAGCCTTCTGTGGCAGTGGAGGCAGGTGGGTTCTGTGCTCGCCCCTGGCGGAGGGAGGTCTCTCTGAGGGGCAGTTTGCTTAGCAGTGCTGGCTCCAGATTTCTCGGAGCTCTTGAAGAAAAACTTTCTCAGCAACTGTCTGCCTTCTCAGCTTACTGTCAGTTAGAGGGGTTCTGCGGTGGCTACCGGAACTCACTTTGGACATCGGTTCAGAGAAACGGGGGGGCGTTGGAGCTTCTTGTGCTTGGATTTGTCTTCCAAATGGCTGGTCCAGGTGGAAGGCATGTCAGTCTGAACTAGCTATGCCAACAAGGTTACCTGCCATTTTTCAGCACCTGAGTCCACCAGCTTTCAGGTAGCTCTTACTTTACGACTTGGACCAGGGGCTGACGCTGGTTTCCTGTTGGGTGTGGTGGAGTGCACTTGGAAGGCGACTTGAAAAGCATTTTTTTAATAAGGGGAAAAGAAGCCAGGAAAGCAATGACTGAAATTTTCTAGGGAAAACTCAGGGGAGATCCAAAAAGCCAAGCAGAGGGATATCTTCCGAGCAGTTCTTCTGGCAAGCGCCTCCCCAGCGGAAGAAGCCAGGCGCTCCCACTGGCCATCGCGACAGTCCTTCCCAAGCAGGGCTGCCCCGACCCGAGGATGTGGTGGAGGGGCCTCCTCCGCACTGCCAGGCCTGCTCCGAACACTGCGAGAGGCAGCGACCTGTTGCCACAGGAGCCGGGGGTCCGGTTTCCCTAGATTTACTATTTGGTGGTTGTGTAGGGAGCTCCCGTGGTGCCAGGAGCACTCCTTGCTCGGCAGGGGGAAGGGTCATCGGCCACCCTGCCAGGCTTCTCTGCTCCCTTTCACAGCCACAGTATTTTGCTGTGATCTGTCCCCCTTGTAATGCAAAGCATTTAGGGTTGGCTTGGCTTTGGACGGGCAATTAAGATGCATTAGCTTCACAAAAGACCAGCTGCTGCTGCAGAAGAAGAAGAAGAGAACTGCTGGGACCTGTTTCTTGATGGGCATCAAGGCGGCTGCCTGCACTTCCAGACCCTCCTCGGGGGCGCGGCCTCAGCAGCATCAGCTTGCGCACCTGCACTTCAGAACGAACCACTGCACCATTGCCAGTCATCTCAAAAGTTGCATCCTTGTTGTCTTGGCTGGTTCAGACAGCTTGGGTGACCCGATTCAGTTGCCCACACTCAAAGGCTGAGCATGAGTTGTTGAAGTGTTGTCTGAACCCAGCTCACGCAGAGCCCATGAAGAGATGCCATAGTTTGTTATTGGGCCGTAAAGCGTGGGTGGTTCACCACGGTTTGCTATCTGGGCAGGGTTCAGACAGCTTCGACAACAGCCAGTCTTCAGTCCACACTCAGCCCTAGGTCAGTGCACTGTCTGAACCCAGACTAAGATAACTAACTCCTGGCAGACTCAGAGCTCCGGGGAGACAGGAAGAGAGGCGCCCTCAGCCAGCGCTGCCCGCTGCTGCAGGAAAACCTTTTAGGTAGTGGTGGGACAACCAGGGGAGAAAAGGCGAGAGACAAAACCTGCAAGATGCTTTTGCGAACTCTTTTTCCTCACTCTTTGCTCGCGGTGGTGGTTGTGGGGAAGTCGTTCCCGAGCGCAGGAGGGAGAGGTCATTGAGGGAACTATTTTTCCTTTATTTTTTAATAAAATGCCACTTGCTGTCGGTAGAGCGGCTCACCGTCAGCTGTAGTGCCTCCGGGTAAATTAATATTTTAGTCACTTGGGGATTGCGGATGAAAGCTTGGTGGGCCATGCTCCTGTCAGCAACTTTCCCCCTGCCATCTTGGCGTCCTTTTTCTCCGAGTGCGTGTGTGTTTCCTGCTCTCTGGCTCCTTAACTTTGCGGGGCATGTCCCCCTTCTCCTTGAAGCCATTGCTTTTCCAAAAAAATACGAGATTAGCAATGCACAAAATGTTGAGGGGTGGCAAGGCGGGGGGGGGGGGGCAGCAGCATCCCCTGCTCAGGACGAGGCGGCGGGAAGAGGTCACGCAGTTTGAACCAATCTGATTGGCTGTCAGTTTCGATAGACCTGACACAGCAGATGTTCCTTTTGGGCATGCTCAGTGAGGAGGCCGGAGCGGTCGCCACGGCAACGTTGGGATTGGGGAACAGGAAGGGGGCCTGACCAGCAGCCTAAAGCTGCCACATTGCTTCAGCATTAACAGAGTCTTTAATAAACGTTTAAGAGGCAGCCCCGCAAATTAGTTATGACAGTTTGCGCAGAGCATCGGCTCCCCCCCCCCCGCTCCTTCCGCCCTTCTCCTTTAAAGGGCCCGTAGCCTGGACAACTTTGACATAATTTTGCAATAATTATCACTCGAAGAATTTCCACGCCGGGCTGGGCGTCAGAACCCATCACATCAACCGAGCAATAAATGCTGACCAGCAAACCCCAGACCGCTCCCTTCCTCTCGAGCCCGACTTGGGGGCGTTTTTCCCCTGCCACCACTTTCTTGTGCATTATTTGTTGCGGTCGAGGTTTATTGTCGGTTGACTTCCTTTACTTTGTTTACTTATTTAAAACTTTGCGTCTTTCCCCCTTTCTTTTTGTCTCCGAAACACAGGGAATGGGCAGCCAACAGCTCCCGGGCGCTTTAACCCGGCACAGATTAAGCCAGAGATCGCGGAGAGCCCGGGCTCGGTGTCCGCCGTGGCCCAGAATTCCTTGCAGGAGCACAGCCTGGACCTGAGTGTGAAGGATCATGGGTAAGAGACCACTCCGTGGTGGCAGACCCACGTGGCCCAAGAGCCGCAAGGTCATGTCCTAAAACAGTCGTGTCAGATGTGGCGGGGAGGGGAGAGGAGGGGTCTGTCTGCCCATCCGTGGCATCCGCGTCCGTCCAGCCCACAGAGCCACCCCTCCGCTGCAGAAGGCCCAGGGGGCAGCCGTGCCGCCCGCTCCTGCCCCCTGCCAAGCTCGGGAATGCCTCCGGCGTGGCTTTCGCCCTCCCGGCCCTCCTCTGTCCTCTGCCCTGTTACCTGTGTGAGCCAAGGCACTGCCTCGGCTGGAAGTCCTTCCCCGGAAGGGGGTTTGCTTGCTTGTTTGAAGTGTTTGTATCAGCCCCCCACCCCCACCTCTGGCCAAAAGTTTGGACTCAGTCAGCAAAGCAAGACCTTCCCTCCTGCGAGCGCCTAATCTAAACAAGGGGCAACACGCAAGGCGAAACAGATGGGGAAGGAGAGAAGCTCTCTTCCAAGGAGGCTTCCAGCGGGCCTGGGAGGGTGGCCCTGTTTATTCTCTCATGTTTGGATGGGGGTGGATGGAACCGACCCACTGCTGGGCCGAGGGTCCCCCCAGTGCCCACCAGCTTTGCTTGATGTTTCCAACATGCATTTTTTCTTAGCTAATGCTAAGAGTGAGGAATGCATTGAATGATGGGGGGAGCGGGGAGAGAGAGCCAGAGAGCGACACTTGCTTGGCTTTTGTAGGCAAGAACTCTAGAGCCCTCTTTCCCTTTACCTCTAAACTCAGGTCGTAGGGCCCTTTCTTGGCTGGCGTAGTGAGTCCAACCTGGCCAGCACAAGGGTGGGTTTCGTCGTGCCCTTCCAGTGCAGCAGGTGGACTGTGGAACGGGAGGGAGGCAGCTTGCAAGGAGAATTAATTGCAGTCCCCCTTATGCACATCTTAACTAAACCCTGTTGGTTTGTGTGTTCCAGTAATGAATCAAATGGCCACACAGTCTCGGCAAATTCATCTCTTTTATCCTCGCTTATGAATAAGGTAAGAGCCATCCATCAAGGGCCTTTCATTCCCCCCACCAAGAGAAATTAAAGCCGCGGTTGGCGAGGTGGGGGGGAGGGGGAGACGCGTTTGTTTTTTAATGTTTTGCCTCTAATAAGATGAGTTTGTACCATTTAAATTTTGAGACCATTTTTCATCGGGTATAATTTCAGAGCCACTGCTTACGAATTAATTTAATGAACTGGCTGAAGAAATATATTGCAGCCTCTGACGCCCTCTTTTCTCCCCCTCCTTCTAGCCGTTTGGAAAGAGGAGGCCTCTGAAAGCGTTTTGTTTTTGTTTGGTTCATTTAAAAAAATATTTTGAATCTGGCAACTTCTCTTTTTCTTGCTTTTATCAGTTCTGCTTATTACCTTTAAGGATTCCGATTGGTGGCAGGGATTGCTCTTTTCTCCCTTGACTATGGGAAAGTAAGGGAAACAGCCAAAGTTTTGCACCAAGATGGTCAGTTTTCCACTTTGCAATATAATCTTCTCAGATGCAATGGCTCTGAAATAATTATTTTTTTAAAGCGCATAGTGCTCTCGTTGAGCTCTTTTTTACTGAGATATTTATTGCTTACCCATACAAAATGAATTCCGCCTTGGCTCCGTTAATTGTGCCCTTGCAGCCAACCTCTTTCGTGGCCTGGGTTGCCTCACAGTCTGCCTGCAGGATCCTGTTGTGTGAGCAGCTTTGAGGCATCGCTGTTACTTCCCCTGAGCTCTGAGCGCAAGATTCAGGCGGCACACAGAACCCTCCAGAAAGGACATTGTGACTTTGTCTATCTAATGCGTTCCCTTTTCCGTCTCTCCCTTCCCATATCCATCCCACAAAAGCTTCCCACCACCTTCCATCAGGTCTTCAACTGCTTCTGCAATACTTCACTGAGTTAGGTTGTGCCGCTGTGTATGTTTGCCTCCTCTCCATCTGAATCCATGAAAGTTCTCATTGATTAGGCTGTTTGGGGTAGCTTTTCAAAAGCAGTAAGGCGGACTTTAGCAGGTTGCATTTACCTGCTAGATCACCCCAACTGGAGCCCTGGGGCACTGCGCACTCATCTGGTGGAAAGTTCAAAGATCTGTAATCTGACCCTTATTCCTATTCAGACTTCCCCAGTGGGTGGTGGAGAGCCCGTTACATTTGGGAATGATGGACTGAGTAGGATTGGAAGTATTGCTGTGGGAATTAAAGCAGAGAGCCCACATTCAGATGTCACCCTCAACCATAGTTTAATATGATGTAAAGAAGCCAAGACATGTCCTGGTCTCATATGCTCCCCTTTATCGCTCCTCCTCCCACATGGCCAGGAGAAAGGAATCAGATGCATTTTTTGGATTAACTGTATTTGTTTTGTTTTCTCCAGAGACAAACCGTGGCTAGTATTAACCAAGACTAGTTTAAAATAAGCAAATTTGAAACCATGGGCTATTACGGTTAGTTTAAAGCAAGCCAGCTTCAAGCTGTGGTTTCTTGAAGATAGTTATTGACATGAATGATAGCTAGTATTAGCCACAATTCCAGATTGAGACAGCATCAAGAGTTGCAGTTAATTAAAAGCAGAAACAAAACCTGCCAAGCATTTCAGCAGCACAGGATGAAGGGTGGCGGTGGTGGTGGGGTGATGAATCCAGAAGGAGGCTGGATCAGTTTATGTCGCCTTATGCCATTATTTTAGTGAGCTGCTGACAACCATTGACATAGGAGTTTATTTTTATTTATTTATTTGGGAGTTGAATTAAGGGAGTTGAATTAAGCTTTCCCTAGGCCAAGTCCCAGTATACTTGGCTGCAACCCTTAAGCCCTGTTCTTTCCATTCCCCTTTTTCACAGCCTTTGGCTTGTTACGGGAAATTCTCAGGTGAACCTGAGGAGTAGCTGGTGGGCTCTCTCCTAACAGGCAGCATCATTTTTCTCCCAACAGATGACTCAGAGTAACCCCAGCCTTGGAAACCTTCTTGGTCTGAAGGTCGAAGGTGACGTCAGCCAGCCGGGGGCTGCGGGAGACGCAACACAGTATATGGGCAAGACAGTGAAGGCTCTTGTTCAAGAGAAACTTTCTGAGCCCTGGAAGATGTATTTGCGCAGGTGAGAGCCAGGAAATACCCTGTTGTGGGAAGATTGGTCCGAGGCCCGCATGACCCAGTTAAATTGCTAGACCTAGCCTCCATCGCCTCTGTCTGCTCAAGATGGCGTTCGGCATCTTGGCCTCCAGTGGAGCTGGGCTCTCCAAGCATGTGGGAAGTTTCAGGACTGCGATCGTGTTACAGTAGTCACAGGGTTCTGGCCCACATCACCTGCTTTGACGGGGACAGGTGTGGCCAGCCCGTGGCTGCCCTCCAGATGTTTTGGCGGACAGCTCCCATCGGCTGTAAGCAGCACAGCCAGTGGTGTGGGATCCCGGGCGATTGGGCCAAACTATCTGGAAGGCCACAAATTGCCCACCCTGAACGGTGAGTATAACTAAAAACTGCATCAAATGTCTCTTTTCAAAATGGCGGAAGAAGAAAAGCACACCTAAAAACAGCAGCCAACCCTGAAGTCAGGGGTGGATTGATATGCGTGTATATAAAAAGAGCTCAGGCTAACTGGGGAGGCCTCTGGAAGGTCTCAGTGATGGGCCCATGTCGAGGGAGGAGCTGCACCCGAGGCAGGACTGGGCAAAAGGCCTCCTTGCCGGTGGCTGGCCAGCCAGGTCCCCCAGAGCAGCCCCGGCATACAAGCTGGTCTTCTGGCCCAGCCCCTTGCGCCCTTGGCCCCAGCAGCCCTGGAATGCCAAGAACTTCCTCGGCTTCAGAAGCCGAAGCCAAAGCCAGAACTCTGGACGCAGCCCAAACACAGCAAGTGCCTGCTTCACGCGCTTTTTCTCCCGCACCGGAAGTTTTACGTCTCCCCTGAAGCTGCCTTCGAATCAGCTCTGCCAACCTCCTCAATACTTTGCCTGAGCTTCCTTTTGCACGATGATCCCTGCCCTTTTTCTGGTGCATTCCGACTAGTGTAGTCTCTGCATGTCGTTATCCAGGCTGTTTACTCCTCCTTTTGGATTACTAATGAAGACATTAAATGAGCGCAGACCAAGCTGGTCTCTTCCACGGCAGGTCTCATCGGCCCCTGCCCCCCCCGCCCCCCCCCCCCGGCTCGGCACTTGTCGTTCGTCATTCTCCTTTGTTTACGACCCTTCCTTCCGTCTGCTCCTGGCCCGTGGGCCGGTGTTTGCACTGAGCCAATTTGCAAGCACCCGAGACACCACCGAAATGCCTGACTTCGGAGCCTGATGAATTACCTCCCACCTTCCACCCCTTTTCTAATTCCATCTTTTAAAGTAATTCCTTTTGTCCAGAGAGATCTCGCTCTCTCCTGGAACCCCAAAGCTCTTCCTCAGAGTTCTTGTGCTCTTCTGGGGGTTGTGTGATGTAATTTCTTGAAGCGTAACTGTTGCATTCATTAAAGCCCTGGCACCACCACCCTCAAATAAGAAAATCAGGAGGGCTTTTGTTTGGAGGGTGGCTCTCAGAACCCCAACAATTTTTAGCCCATAAACATGCCAAACGGAAAGGAAAAGGATCTCCTTTTGGCCTTTACAGGTTGCCTTTGGCTGCAGTCCTCTCCACCCAGGGTGCGGAACCTCGGGCCTGGGGTCCCAATCCGGCCTCCTGAGTTCCCCAGGAAGGTCATATCCCCTTTTCCTGATTGCGTGGTGGTTTACCATACATTAGGTATGGAATTCCTCCTAAACAGTGGTATTAAATTTATTACATTTAAGTTACCTTGTACAAAAAGGAAGTCGCTCCCCTCTTCCAGGATCTTCCAAAAACAAAAAGCCAAAAAGAAAAGGACACCTTCATTTATGTTTTTAATATGTAAATGTATTTAAATTCAGCCAATTCAAAGCCAGTTAATTAAAAGATTGCCATTCCTATGGAAATACAGTCTAGTTTCCTCCCATTCTAGCCACCCCCTCCTTTTGTTACATTGTATCCGAGTGATGGGCAAGGCATTATGGTTTTGGCATAAGTAAGCCAATGTCCTTGTCTCCTGGGTTCAGGGCTGACTGAGGAACAGTATTCTAGTTAAATGAGCATAAGCAGCATCTCCGGAACAGCTATTCTTGTCTTTCGAAGTGCACCTTTCCACTTGTCTGACTTTGAAACTCGGCTCATAAAGCATTAAGAAGCGCCGTGCCGGATCAGGCCTGTGGGCCATCTGATCCAGCATTTGGTTCTTGCAGTGGCCAACCAGATGCCTCGAGGAAGCCCACAAGCAGAACACCCCCACCCATGTTCCCCAGCAACTCTTATACTGGAGGCAGCAAGCAGCCACGAGGGTTACCAGCCACCGGTAGCCTTTTCCTCCATGATTCTGTCCCATCCCCTCCAAATTGTTGGCCATCACTGCACCGTTTGGGAGCAAATGCTGTCGTTTACGTAACTCTGGGCTGTGTGAGGAGGGGCTTCCTTTGATCCGTTTCATGGGATGATGCCAGAGTCCTAGGAGGATGAGCACGGTGGGACAGCATGTGCGCTGCGGGTTGGGTCCATGGCACCCCCAGATTGGGCTGGCGAAGGCCACTGCTGGTCAGAGTGCTGAGCTGGATGGACCCAAGTATGACCTGTACTCCCAGTAAAGCAGCTTTCTCCAGTCCTAAGGCTCCGTCCAGGGATGAACACTGCTTGTTGGTGTTGCTATTGCTGCTGCGACTGTGTGCCTCCAGGTTGTCCCCCACTTACGGCAACCCTATGGATGAAAGCTCCCCAAAATGTCCTGTTCATGACAGCCTGGCTCAGCTCTGGCAAATTCAGGGCTCCCTTCATGGGGTCAGTTTCATATTTGGTCTTCCCAACTTGTCCCATTGCTGCAGGTTTGGTACCAAGGACTTCTGTGACGCCCAGTGTGACTTTCTCCATAAAGTGCATTTCCACTGCGTGGTGGAAGAATGTGGGGCCCTCTTCAGCACCTTGGATGGCGCCATCAAGCATGCCAAGTAAGTCGGCGGCGGTTGCCCCTCACACTGAAGGTTATTCGCCACAATAAAGGCCCAATCAAGACGACTGAGCTCTCCACCACGGTGCCTGCCAGCCTCCTTGCCCCTCCTGATTCTAACTTGATGCATGATTTTTTTTAAATTAGGAAAGGGTATGATTTCTTCATTTGATGTGTGATTGATTTACTACTATGTTGCAAAGCAACGTTCTGTCCTCCAGCACCTCTTTATTTGGGTTCCAAAGAATGCTTTTCTGTTCTGGAGCTCTGACCACACTTTGTCTGTGCACTGGGGTTCATGGCGAGTTACTTCTCTTTTAGCTTCGCCCATAAACGCTCTGGGCCACGGGTGTCTTGTGACCAGCAACCGCTTTGTGGCTTGGCCACACCACATGCCCAGAATTCCAAATGCACTTCCTGGCCCACACGGGTTAAGGGGTACTGTCTAGGGCAATGATGGCGAATGTTTTAGAGACCAAGTGCCCAAACTGCAACCCAAAACTCACTTAAATATCGCAAAGTGCCAACACCACAATAAAACCTGAAAACTAGGGTTTTAATTTACAAAAAACAACTCGCAGCCAATCCAAGAAAAAAAAATATATATATATCCTTGGCAGTGCACTGACTGGCCATGTGAAAGCCCAGACAAGGTACGGCTAATGAGTCACGATTTTGAAAAAGCCCTCCTTGAGTAGCTTTTTCTGCACCGCTCATCATCTCTGCCCATGCTAAACACATTCCAACCATCAAAACCATGCCAGGACACCTCGTTTCTCTAACCCTAACCCTACCCTGGTTCACACCCCTAACCCTAATATAGGGGTAAAGCTCCATTGAAAACAATGCGATTTTGAAAAGGCCCTCCTCGAGTAGCATTTTCTGCACCGCTCATCATCTCTTTCCATGCTAAACACATTCCAACCATCAAAACCATGCCAGGACACCTCCTTTTTCTAACCCTAACCCTACCCTGGGGCACTCCCCTAACCCTAATATAGGGGTCAAGTTCCATTGAAAACAATGCGATTTTGAGAAAGCCCTCCTTGAGTAGCTTTTTCTGCACCGCTCATCATCTCTTCCCATGCTAAACACATTCCAACCATCAAAACCATGCCAGGACACCTCGTTTCTCTAACCCTAACCCTACCCTGGGGCACTCCCCTAACCCTAATATAGGGGTCAAGTTCCATTGAAAAGAGGGCGATTTTGAAAAAGCCTTCCTTGAGTAGCTTT